TAAAATTACTTGATGGATTGTTTAGCCAATCATATACTGGCATTTTTTCCAGATTCCTTATTCACATGAAATTTGCTGATCGATAATACGTAAATGTAATGCTTTATCATGCGTTCAAATAAATTCATGAATAAAGCTATTATTTGATACTTATGTATTAATGATACCATTTACAGCTTTTTGAAAAAGAATGATATCATTATAATCGAATCTTTTCGAATGAAATACAATTTGAAAAAGATATAAATACTACCTTTTCCCAAGGATTCTTTTCTGGTCAAACAACATTACAACTTCAAACAACATTACAACTTAAACAATCATCAACAATCATCAAATATAACAATCATGTCTTCTTCTGATAAAGAACCATCTAAAGTCGGAGGTGATGCCAAATACTATCAAGGCGTGGTTCAAGAATCCGTCGGTAGAGCGTTAGGCAATGAACAATTGCAAGCCGATGGTACAGCCAAAAAAATCCAAGGTATGCATTCAATTGGGATAGATTATTATACGTATAATTAATTCTCATTATTGGAATTAATTTTTATTATTGGAAATTGTTATTAATAGGTCAATCCGAATCTGATGCTGCCAAAACTTCAGGACAACGTATTTATTAACCGTTTTATATATTAAATGATATTATGTTATATATACATACTAAATAACTAACTATTTAATTATTATGAATAATAGAAAAGAAAGATAATGTCATTGGCAACGTAAAAGAGACTGCCGGTAACGTTGTCGGAAATGAACAAATGGAAGCTGAGGGAAGAGCACGTAAACAAAATCCTTAAATGTTTAAAATGTTTAGGGTTTATAGTGCTAGATTTTAGTTTTCGGATTTACACAATGTATAATTGCAATAATTTATTGTAGTTTTTTTTTTTCTTTTCTCTTTTTTTTTTTTTTTTTCCTCCCAAAGGGATGCCCTCAGACCCCCATTGTAAGAAAGTTTAAAGAAATGTATTATTCATGTCAATAAAATATTAAACTTCTCATGATTATGGGCAGTGATGAACATGTATATCAGATATGGAATACGTATCTGTAGATTCAAAATAGCTTAAACTGACCTTAGCTAAAATAATAAATAATAAATATCGATATATTTAAAGCAATCGTATTTTATTTTTCAACCCAAAATATCGACCCAAAATATTATTTCAAGACAAGTTTTGGTTAATGAAGAAAAATTATCTTTCACAGATTTTTAGTAAAATGACTATAAATTAACAATTTTAGCTTACAATAAAAAAAACTCAAATTCTTATGATATAAGCGAACTTATGCCATTGTGATTATATATATGAGACTTGAAATACCGTACGTGAAGCAAAAGAATGAAATCTACGTTTACCGTTAAGTGAAAAATAAATGTAAACGTTTTAATTTACACTTGACCTCCGTTAATATAACCTCGTTAATATCAACCTCTTATTAAGACAAAACAGACTCAGGGTATATAAAAACTATTCCGATATTATCAACCCTCGCATCTATCAACATAAATTGCCTAATCCAAATGGGTTGATATTAAAGTGTATTACAGAAATTAATCCACACAATACTGAATTTACATGAAAAAAATAAAATGTAGTTAACTTTCATAGGCAGAAATTCGTCTGATTGGCTAATGCAAATCAATTGCCCGGGTAACTTATTTATATGTTTTAGAGT